GCCCAGGGGAGTTGCCCTGATCAGGGATGTGGGTGGATCAGGAAGCCGCCGTACCCAGAGAGGGGGAGGATTGAGGAGGAATCGGAGGAGGAGGGGAAGGGGGAGGGGGAGGAGGGAGCAATTAGGGAGGAGGAGAAAGAGGCGGATGAGGAAGAGAAGGGGGAGGAGGGCGAGCAGAAAGGCCAGAGGCCTCTTCGGATGTCTCTCGGAGTCTCTTCGGATGTCTCTTGAGAGTTTCTTGGGGACCTATATTGGGGCGTCTTGGGTGCCCCTTGGAGGTCCCAGGGGCCTCGTGGAGCGTCTTGGGTGCCTCGGCGGAGCCTCTGGGGGTCTCCTGGGGGTCTCTCGCGAGTTTCTTTGGGTGCCTCTTGGGGGCCGTCTTGGGGCCTCGTGGGCGCCCCCTTGGGGGCCCTCTCGGGGCCGTCCTGGGGCACCCTTGGGAGCCGAGGGCTGCTTGGACGGTGTAGTGGGTCGCGCCCCCCGCTCGTCCAGGTCCAGGGGAGGGGGTAGGGAGAGGGGTACCCCTCGGTCGATGAAAAGAGGTATTTTTAAGTTCCCAGATTCCGATCTACTCGAGCCGCTTTCCTACTTCAATGATCGAGTGGCTTTACCTTTTCCGTCCTCCTTAGGGGGCGGGCGGACACCCAGTCTACGTTCAGCGCCTTCCTACTTCATGTTTCTACCTACATCTTCGGACCGATGGGTAACCCGAAGAAGTATTTAAGAAACGCTCCCCTCCTTCCTTCCGGCCTAAGGATACCACTTCCGCACCGGGAAGCGTTACCCCCGCACCGGATGGAGGATGTGGATACAGCATTAGTGCCGCGCGCATTCGCTTCCAAAACTTGCAAGAGCTTCACGGATGGAGGGCGGCTCGTTGTTCTCGCCTCAGCGCTGCGCACATTCGATTCAAACATCGCCAAGCCTTTCCCGGATCGAGGGCGGCTCGTGGCTCCCGCCTCAGCGCCGCGCGCGTTCGTTTCAAACACGTGGCAAGAGTTTCACGGATGGGGGGCGGCTTGTTTTCAAAGTGTAGTTCTCGCCCCAGCGCCGCGCACATTCGATTTTAAATCGTTGCGAGAGTTTCACGGATGCAGGGCGGCTCGTTTTCAAAATGTGGTTTTCGCCGTCGATCCGCGCGCATTCGATTTTCAACTGTGCAAGAGCTTCACGGATGGAGGACGGCTGGTTCTCAGAATGTTGCTCTCGCCCCAGCGCCGCGCACATCCGCTGCAGAAACGTTGCAAGAGCTTCAAGGTTGGAAGTTTTCAAAATTGTGTTTTCAAAATTGTGTTTTCAAAACGGTTTTCAAAATGGTGTTTTCAAGAGCTGCAAGGCTCGTTTTCAAAATGGTGTTTTCGTCCCAGCGCCGCGCACACTCGAATTTTCATAGTCGCAAGAGCTGCACGGGTGGAGGGAGGGCTCGGTTTCAAGATGCTGTTCTCGCCGCAGCGCCGCGCGCCTTCGTTCCGAAAATGTCGCAAGCGTTTCACAGCTTAAACAAAATTCAAGAGTAGTCAATCATACCCCAAACATCGTCCCCAGACTACTGTTTGGCAATGTCTGAGTTTTCCTCCTGCAGAGGGACACGCCCACGGGTTGAGGGCTGCTCGTTGCTCTCCCCTCAGCGCCGCGCACGCTCGCTGCAAGCACGCTGCAATAGCTTCACGGATGGAGAGCGGCTCGTTTGCAGAATCTAGTTCTCGCCTCGGCGCCGCGCGGAGTCACTGCAAAAACGCTGCACGGGCTTCACGGAAGGTGGGGGGCGGTTCGTTTTCAAAGTGTTGGTCCCGCCTTGATGCCGCGCGCATTCGCTTTGACAATTGTGCAAGAGCTTCCCGGACGGAGGGCGGCTCGTTTTCAAATTGCTGTTCTCGCCTCAGTGCCGCTCACATTCGTTTTGAAGAACTTGCAAAAGCTTCCTGGATGGAGGGTGGTTCGTTCAAAAATGGTGTCTTCGCTTCTGCGCCGCGCACATTCTTGTGAACATACTGCAAGAGCTTCAAGGACTGAGGGCGACTCGTTTTCAAGCTGCTGTTCTCGCCTCAGTGCCGCTCACATGCGTTTTGAACATGCTGCAGGAGCTTCATGGATTGAGGGCTGCTCGTTTTCAAAATGTTGTTCTCGCCTCAGCGCCGCGCACATTCGTTCTGAAAATGTTGGAAGAGTGTTACGGGTGGAGGGCGGCTGGTGTTCAAAATGTGGTTCTCGCCCCAGCGCCGCGCGCATTCGTTTTGAACACGCTGCAAGAGCTTCGCGGATGGAGGGCGGCTTGTTTTCAGAATCTAGCTCTCGCGTCAGCGCCGCGCGCAGTCGTTCTAAAACCGTTGCAAGAGCTTCGCGGATGGAAGGCAGCTCGTTTTCAAAATGAGGTTCCCGCCTTCGTGCCGCGCGCATTCGTTACAACATTCGCAAGAGCTTCACCGATGGAGGGCGGCTCGTTTTCAAAATGTTGGTCTCGCTTCATCGCCGCGCACATTCGTTGTGAATTTGTTGCAGAAATTTTGCGGATGAAGGGCGGCTCGTTTTCAAAATGGGGCTCTCGCGCGAGCGCCGCTTCAGGCTTATGAGCCCTATGAGCTCTGCGTGCCCCACGAACCCCATGAGCCTTCCGAGCCATATGACCCTTATGAGCCTTATGAGCCGTATCGGCCTTTGCGCCGGTGTATTATCCACGATGGAAAGGTCGCCATGATGGCACGCAAACAGAAGTGAGCCCTTAACGGTGGCCAATTCGATTTCGGGTGACCCGCCCGCGCTTGGGTCACCCGAAATCGAATTGGCCACCGTATTCAGTCTTCGAAGTATTGCTATCATTTTTAGGGAATGCAGTGATTAGTGGAACTACTACTATCATTACTATTCTTATCTTCACTACTGATATTATTCGTAATACTAATTTTTAAACGTGTTATCAGAAGCTCTAAAGTGTCTGGTTCGAGTAGTTGTCAGCCTTGCTGGCGAAATTATTATTCTACTGTAAGTACTATTATGGAAGATTTCGGCCGCGTCTCCAAAAGGCGGGCATTATTTGTTCTCCGCGTTCCCAGTGCTAAATATAACGTTCAATGAGGGGCGGGCGCGATACCCTGGGATGGATCACCCCTCAGGACGGCCGACGAACATCAATTTCCCACGAAAGATTGCAATAGAAACCGCATAGGACGAGTCCGTGAAACTCGCGCACGGCCCTTATAGCGACTGCGCGCCGCGCGAAGGCGAAAGCTAGATTTTGAAACCGAGCCGCCCTCAATCCGTGAAGCTCGTGCACATTCAAGACTTCCAGAAAACCATGTGCGAGGTGGTGAGGCGAAAATGTTGAAACCGAGCCACCATGAATCCACGAAGGTCGTGCAACTTTTGGTAGCGAGTGCGCGCGGCGCTCAAACGAGCGCCACAGTTAGAATCCGATCCGCCCTCGGTCCGTGAAGCCCGTGCAAGTGTTTGTAGCGAGTGTGCGCGGCGCTAATGCGAGAGCTAGATTTTGAACCCTAGCCGCCCTCGCTCCGTGAAGTTCGTGCACATCTTCGAAAACCAATGTGCGCGGCGCTGAGGCGAGAGTTAGATTTTGAGATCGAACGGCCCTTACTTCGTGAAGCCCGCGCACATTTTTAACATCGAACGTGCGCGGCGCTGGGGTGAGAGGAACATTTTACAAACGAGCCGCCCTCAATCCGTGAAGCTCGTATATTTTTGAAAACAAATGTGCGCGGTGCTGAGGCGAGAGCTAGATAGAAAACACGGCCGCCTTCAATCCGTGAAGTTCGTCACATTAAAGTAAGGGAATGCGCGTGACACTGAGGCGAGAGCTAGCATTTGAAACCGTTCCGCCCCCAATCCGTGAAGTTCTTCTGAATTATCTCAGTGAACGTGCGCGACGCCAAAACGAAAACTATATTTGGGATTGTTGTTTGTTGTTTGTTTGCGCGGTGCTGAAGATATCATTCCGCTAAAATCACCCACGTGTTTTTTGAAACATATACGCGGTGCTAAGATAAAGGGAGGGGGTTCCTAAATACTTCTTAGGGTTAATGGGTCGCGCCCCCCGCCCGTCCAGGTCTAGGGGTGGGGGGGGGTGGGAAGGGCGGAATAATCATGCGATCGCAAGTATGGATCAAGGGGGCGTGGATAAGCGACGGGTCCTGTTTCCACGGGAAATCGCGGATCCCCGCCGCCGAGCGAGGCGGCACCGGTCGCATTTTGGGGAGGGTCGTTCCCCCGATCCATGGATTTGGCGACCGCTCGCCAAGTCCATGGACCGCCAATCAATTTTTGCGGCCCCCCGACAGTATCTAGCGCATACCAGAGCCAGATTCGAAGAAGGTGAAGAAATGGCACAAACATAAACTTTTGGCGCTCCGCGCGGATTTCCTGGATCCACGCTGGGCTCCCCAGCGGCGCCTGCGGCGCCCTCCCTGGCACGCTCCGCGCGCCAGGGAGGGGGTCCAGCGCAGATCCAAGAAATCAGCGCGGAGCGCCAAAAGTTCTGTTAAGTCGGGCACGTCCCTCTACATGAGGAATATTCAAAAATAGTCAAACAATTGTTTGGGGACGATTGTTTGACTATTTTTGACCACTTTGGGGTATTTTTGACATTTTTTATTGTTTCGTCCAAAACCGGCCTGTAGGGGGACAGGCCCAGCTTCGAACAAGTGTGATAAAACAAGTGTGATTAGAAGACAAGGTTATAAAACACAGGTGTGATAAACAACAAGTGTTATACAATCAAGTGTGATATAAAAACAAGTGTTCTCACTTGTGTTTAATCACACGTGTGTTTTATCACACATGTCTGTTTCACACCTGTCTTTTATCACACGTGTTGTTGTATCACACTTGTTGGTTTTTGATCACACGTGCTTATGCTTCTGTCGTCTGGTCTTCTTCTACGTCTGTGCCGTGCCTCCGCCGTCCTGCCCCCGTGCACCCCCTTCCGCGGGGGGCGGCCCCAGCGAGGCGGGGCCGGTGGACTGACTACATTTTCCAACATTCACGGCAACATGGCCCTTTACTCGATCCGCCACATGTCGGCGACCCTTGACTCACTGATGCAGCAGGTCGCCTCTGCCCCTTCGCGCCGCTGCCCCTTCCCCGTTTCGTCGGCCTCCCCTGCCTTCGGCGGCGAGTCCTGGGGGGAAGCGGGGGGGGCGGGGCAGGCCTTCTCAGGAGGCGGCCGGGCTTCTGAGAAGCCCTCGCGCCTGCTCCGAAGTCGTGTCAGCCTTCTCTGCAGCCACCGGAGGCTTTTCTGGAGGCGTTCGGGCTTCTGAGAAGCCCCGGTGCCTTTGAGAAGGCCTGCCCTTTCTCGCTTCCCCCCTGACCTCGCCGCCGATTCCTGCCCGCGAGCTTCCTGACAGCGTCCGTGGAAGAAGAAGGGCGGTCCCCCCCCAGTCCGTAGAGCAATGTTCCCTGTGGAGGCGCGAGAGAGTCGCCGTTGGAGAGCACCAGTACCTTGCCGCCTTGCGATCGTTCTGGCACGCGCATTTGAGCGGCTCCTCGCGAGACCCGATGCCGAAGCCATTTCCCTCAGTGTACCGTTCGTTACCGCCGAGAATCGTTGAAAACAAAGCGTCGTAGTAGCCGTTTAATTTGTAACTGTGTCTGGTGGTTTTCGACCCATCCCACCACCATGTCTGGGATGGGGGCCCCAGGCCTCTTGGATACATCTTGGGTCTCTTGGGATGCCTCTCAGGGGCCTCATGGAGACCTCTTGGGGGCGTCTTGGAGCCTTTTGGGGTCTTCTTGGCTCTTGGGGGCGTCTCGGGGACCTTGGGCGTCAAAAGGCTAGTAACAAGCAGTGCTGCCTTGAATTAGTTCTGCCTTCGGGGAATTCCCGAGAGCCCCCCGCAGCGCCCATGAACACGGGGCTTCGAACCTTTTGAAGAGCATTTGCAATTCTGCAGTGCAGCAGGCAAAGAGAGAGAGAGAGAGAGAAGGAAAGAGAGAGAGGAAGAGAGTTCGAAGGGACCTGAAGATCAGGGGCACTTATAGGGAAGGGGGTAGGTCCTTGGCAGGATGCAGCGACCCCCACTCGCCATTGCCGATGTGGGCCCGATAGCCCACCCCGCCCAGGAACGTGCGGATTTGCTATCGGGGGCCTGTCGCCGACCTATCGGGGATGTATCGCCGATTCAAGGTGGATCTTCCCCCCCCGAGCGAGTCCCCGCCCGACGTTCCCCCTTTTATCCTGGAGGTCCTTCGGGGCCCTTGTCTTGACGGCCTCTTGAAGCCCTGGGTGCACAACGCCGACCGCTTGGCGCTGGGAGAATTCGTCTGTACCGCGGGAGTAATGTATGTATGTATGCATGCATGCATGCATGCATGCATGCATGCATGCATGCATGTAGGTAGGTAGGTAGGTCGGTCGGTAGGTCGGTATGTATGTATGTATGTATGTATGTATGTATGTATGTATGTATGTATGTATGTATGTATGTATGTATGTATGTATGTATGTATGTATGTATGTATGTATGTATGTATGTATGTATGTATGTATGTATGTATGGATGTATGTATGTATGTATGTATATATATATATATATATATATATATATCCTGGGGGACGTGGCCGCGGGGGTCCCGCCCAGGGACCTCGGCGGCGCATGGGGGGCCCGTGGCCTTACTGTCCTTGTGTTTTTTACCTAACAGCTTGTTCTGATAGGTTTCTAGTGGTCTCAAAAGAGAGCAGCAGATGACTCCACAGGGGGGTCTGGGCGGGTGCCGGACAGGGTGCCGCAGAAGTCGTTTTAAGCCATCAGTCACACACTTCGTGCTCTTCGACCTCCCAGAACTCCATTCCCGGGCCACATTTTGGATGCCCGGAGCCAACTGTAGGCCACTTCGTGCTCTTCGACTTCCCAGAACTCCATTCCCGGGCCACATTTTGGATGCCCGGAGCCAACTGTAGGCCACTTCGTGCTCTTCGATTTCCCAGAACTCCATTCCCGGGCCACATTTTGGATGCCCGGAGCCAACTGTAGGCCACTTCGTGCTCTTCAAGTTCCCAGAACTCCATTCCTGGGCATGATTTTGAATGCCCGGAGCCAACTGTAGGCCACTTCGTGTTCTTCTAGTTCCCAGAACTCCATTCCTGGGCCACATTTTGAATGCTGAGGCAGGCTGATGCTGCGGCCGAGGCAGGCTGAGGCTGAGGCAGGCTGAGGCTGAGGCCGAGGCTGAAGGCAGACTGAGGCTGAGGCTGAAGCAGGCTGAGGCTGAGGCAGAGGCAGGCTGAGGCTGAGGCAGGCTGATGCTGAGGCAGGCTGAGGCTGAGGCTGAGGCTGATGCAGGCTGAGGCTGAGGCAGGCTGAGGCTGAGGCCGAGGCTGAAGGCAGACTGAGGCTGAGGCTGAAGCAGGCTGAGGCTGAGGCTGAGGCAGGCTGAGGCTGAGGCAGGCTGAGGCTGAGGCTGAGGCAGGCTGAGGCTGAGGCTGTGACTGCGACTGCCGTTGCCGCTGCGACTGTCATCGCGAATGCGACTACGACTGCGAGAACAGCAGAATTCTACAACTGGATTTTCATTTGAATCTGAAGGGGAATGCTTTCAGATATGCTTCTACATATCGCTGTTAGGTTGCTTTGCCGGGATAATTTTTTAAACAAGATTTCGGCGACCCAGAGCCAACAGAGCCCCAAGAGGTTGCAGGGAGCTCCAGGGGCTGCTCCCGCCTGGTGCCCCAGGTCTCCCACAGGGCTCCCAGAGGCCTCCAGGAGAGCTCCCCGAAGCCCAAACCGCCCACTGCGGCGCCTGAGGCTCCCAACGCTGGCTTTAGACGGCCCAACAAGGCACCCAGATTGCCCAAACTGCACCAAGGTGGGGCCAGGAGTACCCCGAGGCAGCTGAAACTGGGGCCAAGACAGCCCAACTGGCTGACAAAACGGCTCCAGACACTTCCACAAGGCCTCCGCTGCGGCCGCGCGCGGCTAAGCGCGCGGCGGAACTCGCGGAAGCTCCAGTTGCTCAGTTTCCTATTCCTCTTCTTCCCCCGTGCTTCAACTCCTCATTCTGCTCACTCTGCTGCTGGTGCTGTTGCTGCGCAGTTCTTTCTCCTCCTCCACCTCCGCCTCCTCCTCCTTCCGCCCCCCCCCCTTACTTCCCCACCGCCGTTCCTCCTCCTCTTTCTCCTCCTCCTCCGCCTCCTCCTCCTGCCGGAAGCGCGGTGCGAGAAGTCCAAGGCTCCAGGAGGGTCGGCCGTCAGGGCCCTCTGGAACGAGATCCGCTGTCGATGGCACCGCTTGCCGCGGCATCCTTTGGCACCATGGTGCCGCGACTAGAACCTAAGCGCGCGTAGCGCGCGAGTGGCTCTAGTGCGCGTGTATATATATATATATGTTGAGGATGGAGAGATAGCTCGGAGGGCCTCCAGGGACTTGCGCGGCCCCTCATGCAGGCTAGGTGGGCAGCTCGGGATGCGGAGCAGGTGGCCCAGAGGATCGTGGCTTCAAGAGCGAGCTGCCTCGCTGATCCGATGTCCTGGTGCGGCTGTCGGGCATCGGAGGGCCCTTCATTCGGCGGCAGTTCCGCCGAAGGCCCCGGCTGCATAATTACGTGCACGGGCTTCGGGGCCATCTACCCGCAAGCCCAGGGGCTGGCCGCCTCGAGGCGGAGAAAGAGCGGGGAGGAGCATGATGGTCGTGGGGCGACAACTGACCACCTCGCCGATTCTGGCCAGGCCCATCTTGGGCCCAGGATCGGTGCGCACGCCCTGTGTGCACGCCCTCCTGGTCTGGCCAGGGAAGCATGTACTCCGATCCTGGGCCCAGAGTTGGCCCAGCCAGGGTCGGTGAGGCGGTCAGCTGGCGCTTCCCCCTCCTCCTCCTCCTCCTCCTCCTCCTCCTCCTCCTCCTCCTCCATCTCCTCCTCCTCCTCCTCCTCCTCCTCCTCCTCCTCCTCCTCTTCCTCCTCCCCCCCCTCCTCCTCCGCCTCTGGTTGCTCTCCCGTCCCCCCCCCATTTTGGGGCCTGGCGAGGGAGGCAAAGTCAGGGTCGCTTCGCCGATCCCACACCTCGCTGGGCCATGGTATTGCAGCCCCGCCGCGCCGTCCCCCACGGCGGGGACAGGCCCCACGAAGTGTGACCGGAGCAGCATCTATCGCCATCTAGGGGGGGGGGGAAATCTGCCAATGGGGGCAAGGCCATGCCAGTGGCGATGGGGATCGGTGAAGCGATTGAGAAGGAGCACGATGGGGAGAGGGAAGGGGTTCCAGGGGGAGGGTGTCGGGGAGCGGGCTCTCCGCCGCGCCCGCCCACACCCCGTGCAGGCAGTGCGCAAGCCGGCGCTCCGCCTCCTGATCCAGGCTGTAATCGTCCTGGTAGTGGTGGACGCGCTGTGGCAGGGCGACAGGACTCGACACTAAGCCTCCCAGATGGAGTCCGAGGATTTCGCCGCATCGCCGATGCATCGGCGATGCGGCTCGATGTAGAGCCCGATTTCTCAACGCCGACGCATGCGGCGCGATTCTCCGGCTCCATCGACTTGGACCCCATCTGGGAGGCCTTTTAGCGGTGTCACCAAGATCGCGATTATCGGCTTTTGGACGGCTGCAGGTGCGAAGCGCGGGCGCCCGAACGGGCGATGTCACCGGTGGTAGCAAGGACACGCTGCGCCGAAGCGCGCGGCCGCGCGGTCGCGCCAGCGGCTGGGACACTCAGGTCCAGGCGACGCAATAAGCATCGCGACGGCCAGTTTGCGGCATTTGGAGGCCCTCTCCTGGCCCCAGGAACCTCAAAAGCGCCCCCTCTCCCATGCTCCTATTCGCCCATCTTCCTCGCTGATTCCATACAGCCGGACCGAGGTATAAGATCGAGGTCGGTTCGGGGAGGGTACCCTGGTGTTCTTCGTGTTTGTTGACATTATTTTGCATCCTGGGGAGGGGGCCCTTGGGTGTCCTGTTTGGTTTGGCCAGCGGGGGGTCTCATGTTCTTGAAGGAGGGTCTTCTGGCCTAGTTTCGACTGTATCGGCTATGTTTCCTGAGGGGGCTCGGCTCTGTGCCGAAGCGGGCCCGCAGGGCCTCCTAGGTCAAGGGTCCCGCAGGCTTTCCTCCTGTCTTGCCGTGAAATACCGCCAGCAGCACCAGACGACAGGGCTCGATGAATCGGAATGGAAGGGGAGGAGCGAGAACGAGGAGCAGGAGGAGGAGGAGGAGGAGCAGGAAGAGCATCCGAGGTGGACGGGGAGGGGGAGGGAGCAGGAGTAGGAGTAGGAGGAGGAGGAGGAGGAGGAGGAGGAGGAGGAGGACAGGATGATGGGCGAGCAGTAGCATGGGCGAGGAGGCGGAGTCGCCCTGAGAGACACCAACAACTACATAAACATGATTTCTCTGGGACCCGCGCGGATTTATTGGATCGGCGCTAGGCCGCACTGGCGGCGCTTCCGGCGCCGCCCCTAGCGCGCCCCGCGCGCTAGGGAGGGGGGTCCAGCGCCGATCCGTCAAATCCGCGCAGACCTCCGTGAAATTCACTTTATGCAGTTTCTTGTTCCTCCAAAGACGACTCCGCTTTTTTTTTCGGCTCAGGCTCCTCACAACCCATTCAACGAGCGACTTGTGAGCAATGGATCAAATAGGGATACCTAAAGGTATCCCCACCACTCCTGGCTCGGACGAATCGGCCATGGAGTTCAAATTCTGGTCTTCTTCGGCCAAGGAAGAAAACCACGCCGAAGCAGACTGAGCTGCTTAGGCTTTTCAACAGTGCAATTTGACTGTAACTGTTGGGGCGCAACACTGCCAGACGTGTAGGACCCACAACGATTGCAGAAAAGTACGGGCGCCTGGTGCACGACAGTGCGCGAAACCATCCAAACGTGATCTCTCAAACGCTTAATTCGAAGTAAACTCTGCATGGAAGAAGTGAGGGCCCCGCACTTACCCTTGGCTGTGGACGGGGCACGAAAGCACTTGGCACACTGGACACATCTCCATCTGCGCCCGTCCCACTTAAGGTGATGGGCGCGGGGTTGGCCAGAGGGGCGCGGGGCACGGGGGATTCGGTCAAGCTGGCCATGCAAATTCCGAGCAAAAGGCCACGCTCTCAGCATTACCCCCATGGCCGAGAGAGCACAGCGAATGTCTTTTCTTTCAAAGTGGTGACATATTCCAGATCGCTGGGCATGTGGAACATGGGCGCACCTTTATTAGCTAGAATGTCGGCCCAAGAGTTCCCTCGAGTAACCAAAAATCCCCTGGGGTCTGTGAGGCCTTCAAGGGTACCATGGGCTTTGACCTTGTGGATGCGGAAGGAGCCCTTGATGTCTTGCTTCAGGAATCGCCAGATATCCTCCAGAGTAGAATGACCATCCCAAGCACGCGATTCAGGTGCCCATCCTTTGACCAAGGCAGCACAATCCGCATACACAGCTGCTGGAGGCTGACCCTCGGGGATCCTGCAGGCACAGTGGAACAAGGCAGCATGCTCCCCGCGTGACGCAGTCTGAGGACAGGCTGCTGGTACGTGTCCGAATACACCTCTCACCAACTCGCCCGTGTCTGTCACCTCTGCAACCCCCCATCCTGCCCGAGCAAGCACAGTGGAGGTAGGGGGGAGACAAGAGCCGTCCACAAACAGCGGCCTGTTCTGGTCGAGCATGAAGGGCTGGACCTGCTCCAGCTCAGCATTGGCAAAAACTGGCGACTCTTCTGGGTCGATATCATACTCGACCGTGGGCCTGGCAATCCAAAACCTGCTGGAGAGAGGTGAGGTGGGGCCTGCAGCCAGGGCCTCCTGCACAAGCTCCTCCTTAACCTCCTCCCTCCTGAGACGAGCCAGGAATCCATCTTCTCCTGCGCACTCCCAGCAACGATGCCAGACCGTGTCGGGCTTCCCGCAATACACACAAACGGGGCTGATCGCATAACCCCAAGTATGCAGCTTGCTGGCGGTAGGATAACTATTGGTGAAAACTGGTCGAATATTTTGCTTTTCAACATGGCTGAACTTCATACTGTTGAAGGCCTGTCTGGCAGGTTCGCTCCAAAGCCCACGATCCCGAATAGCTTGGCCCTCGGGACCCACAAAGTCACGAGTGAGGCGCTCCATAGCATCAGACAGGTAAGCTTGGCGCAGGTCGTCGACGAAAAATCTGCCGACACGAACAGGTGCAACAGACGTGAGCTCAACCACATTTCCGTTGCTGCGCAGACAAATAGCTGGCGTCCTGACCTGCCAGTTGGCCTCGTTGAGCCACAAGATGAGATCATGTAGAGGTCCCAGTGAGCGTTGACCCCAAGTTTTCCCTTCAGAGGCCAAGAGATCCGAGACCGCCGCATTGAAGGCCTTGCTGAGGGTGCCAGGATCGAGCCCATCAGGAGGTCTGAGGTCGGAATCAGACCACTCACGAGCATACCTGGCCAGAGTAGCCGAGGCCTGTTTGAGGGGGTCCTTACTGGGCGCCAGGGATCAAGCGAGCTCCAAGTTGCAACTGGGGGACCACAGACCGAGGTGACGGGCCCCTTGGACACGGAGATCTTGGCTATTGGCAGGAGTATCCCCAGACATCTCAGAACCATAAGCTACAGAAGGAACAATCCCACATAAAAAAATAGCTTAGCTTTCTTCTCCGCGGTCGAGGCGCGGAGGCTGGAGATCTTGTGTATTCGCCTTAGTGCTCTTCTCTGACGTGAACGCTTGACCTTGAGAGCTCCCTTAGCCGTCCTCGGTCGGCGTCCGACCGCAAAATCAGCACCCAGACTGCGAATCGACATGGCCGCATCGCCAGCATATAGGCTAAGCACAGCCTTGGCCCGATCAAGCAGAGCGGCCCGATTGGCCACGGTCGCAATCTTGCGCAGGGCGAACCTAAGCCCAAGGCGATCGTGGAAAAAGGAGATGAGGCGAGGGAAGGCGATGGTGAGGGAGGCGAGGCATCCATCCATCGTATCGTTGATAACGGTGAGGCAGTTGTCATTTATAAATATCCCGAGATCGGAGTCAGGAAGAGCGAGGGCATGGTCACGAACGCCTGGGACCATGAGCGCCTTGACTGCATAGGTCGCGGTACTGCTCCCAGCCACCGCCCCCTGAGACGGATAGATAACCCGAGATGCTGCCCCTTCGATGGTAAGAAACCTCCCCCACACATGCATATTACTAGCAGCCCTAAGAGCAAGCAGAGGATAGTCGGCAAGCTCCGCTTCCCGCTCCAGCACATCACGGGAGATATTCTTATAGCATCGCTGCAAATCACCAAGCACAGAGTTAACACTCCTATCTTGGGAGTCAGCGAGAATCGCTCTTACTGAGACACGCCAAATACCGTCCGTGGTGCGCCTGTGGGGGGCCATGTAGAACTCCCTGGCATCCAGGGCCGATTTCTCCCACGACCGACTGCGAATAGCAAGCGTTTTGGAGTGCCGCCGAACCGAACTCAGAAAAAATCCGATGGGCCTGAGGTCTCCAGAAGGTTTTGGAAACATCTGAACGCGAAGAAGCTGAACATCTGTAGGTTGGGTTCCCAAGATATTCCCAAGGGTAAATAAACTGTTCAGCGCATCCAGGCCCTCGGAGCACAAGTGAGAATAATGTCTAGGGTGAAAACCTTCAACAGCAATGGCGGCGCGCGGGAAGGCTTGGGAGAGCTCGCGTAGCCGATCGGCGCCAGGGGCAGCGGGCACAGGTAGGCCGGCCAGGTCTCGAACACGTCGAACCTGCTTCGGCACCTCAGCCCAAGCCTGTCCCCACTCGCGAGCATGGTGGTTGAGCCTCGCATCTATACTGGCTGAGGGGCCATCAGCAGTGGGAACATGCTTGAAACAATGATCAGCAGCAAGACGAGTCTAGGCATGCCCCCACTTAACACCACCCGCCAATGCGGTCTCGCACCACTCATTCCAAGACGCACGCTGGTCAGCACGATCTTTGGACAGCAAATGTCGGGCGCATAACCTAGCATGCTTCTCCCAGGAAGTGAGGTCGGCCACTGGGCCGCGCCAAAAATCCACCGGGTGCCTGAGGATCCTCCAAGCAATATCAGCGAGATGCTGGTGCCAAACAGCTCCACCAGCCTTCCAGAAAGTGCGGAACGGCCCTCCCTTCCTGACAAGCTGGGTGGTGTGCTGAAGGAGTTTCACAAAATACGGATGATCCCAGGCATTCGGGCATCTCTCGTGCAAGCGCAAAATTTCCCGATGGCGGTTGGCCACCCAAGCAACAGCCCTGGAGGCCGACAACTTGAGGTTAACCTTGGTGGGGGAAAGCGTGGCCACAGGGACCTCCTGGAACACAAACCTTTTTCCCCCGCGTAAGTGCCCTGGCTTCTCGTTGGTCTGGAACAGGCCTAACAGCTCGCTCCAGGCAAGGTCTGCCCACTCACGGTAGGCCGAGCCCAAGACTTGCTGCAGGTCCTG